TGGCAGATGTCCTTTATATTGTGTCAACTTTTCAAGATGATTGGACAGAAATGCTCCAAAACTGCTTGGAATTAAATCTCTGTACATTAACTCACACTAAAAGGTAAGAATGTTTTTGCCCTCTCCTGTAAAGCTGCCATTTTGTGGAGAGCTGTTTTTCTTTGGACAGCGACAAAATACACTTGTATTGAGATATGAGGATTATATGCGGATGTTTTCATGATTAAGTCAGCTATGACCTCCTTAGTACCCGATTTTCCCCAAATTTTGTGCTAGGTTCTGATTATATAAACACATGATTTACATTGAGCTACAATTGAAACGCACATCAGTTAGCAACAGAATTTAAGTGAGGAAGCTGATATAGCCATAAGAAGTGTGAGTGAATTAGTAGTTAGATTTACATTTATCTGATGCTTACAGGCAGTGATGAGATCTCTCTTGAGCTAAAAGACATCAAATCAAACACAACACAAACAACATGTTTTAATAACGGAGCTCAATCAGAGTGTTATAGAACATTGTCACAAAGTGCAAAGCAGATTTCTTTATTTTGACATGCTTAAAAATAATACATCAATATCTAGGTTGCACGGATTGCTCTCGGTTGCTCTTATTCCTGTTTTGTAACTGTCAGTGTGCTACTTAGCTGTCTGGAGCAGCAGGAAAAGTATCTACAATGCACTCCTACTCAGCACTAACAGCAGTCTAACTACTTCACATCAAGTACAGATGACCTGTATTGCTTATTACCTGAAATAAGCTTAATACAAAACCAGAGAATATATATGTATGTGTGTGTGTGTATATATATATATATATATATATATATATATATATATATATATATATATATATATATATATACACACACACACACAGAAACAGTTTTGAACAAGTGGGCGGGGTTACACTCAAGATATAGATGAGGGGTGTGGCAAAGGGCAGAGCTAGGGAAGAGCTAGAGCCTGGGTGACAGAGACAAGATAAGACCAGAGTAGACACAGAAAAGAGAACAGACACACTGGACAAACTATGACATCCTATAGATCAACTATAGATCAGGAAATTCAGTCATGGAACTAGACCACTTTGCAATTTGCCTTCAATTTTAAGATTAACTTTTACATTTCAGTGTTCCAGATAACACAACATGTTGACCACAAAGAAGAGCGTGGTATTTTGCACTATTGACTTATATGTTAAGACTATAGATCTGCAGTAGAAAATGGGGGGATGGTTTGCACAGCTCCGGTGCAACATTCCCTTCTGAAAGCTGCGGTTGCTATAGCATAGGCGTCCTTTCATTAACAGCTAAGGTATTTTGTCATAAGCCAACTTTATCTTCACCTGAATTAAAAATGAAATTGTGGTTCTTACAGACAGTGACTGGGTTAAACCACCACATTTACACAGAGTGGCCCACTGGAGGGTTGCAGGATGCATAGCTGCTGGCACTGTATCTGGAACAAGTCATTAATTATAATTTAATGAATAAAGCAGTTTGATTAAGAATCTTTCAGGAAGCCTAAAAAATCACATACAAATTAAATAAATAAAGATGGGATCTTTGTGTGCCCCTGTGTCTTTGGGACTGCAACGTTTGAACAGAAAGCAGACGCTCGCGGTTTGAAAACAAAAAGGAAGCTTTACTTGGGGAATCAGGGATGAGCACAGTAGTCAGATAATGAGCATGGGTCAGTTCCAGAAAACACAGCAAGATGAGAATGGCTACCATAACAAACAAGGGCAAAACAGGTCGAAGTCCACAAAACAAGCGAAGGGTCAAAATCACCAATCCAAATAACCAGGCAGAAGTACAAAAGGGCAAATCCAAAAACAGAGTCAGAGAAAACGGTAAGAATAAAGTCATAACCAGGAAAACCATCAAAAAGAAAACAGTCAGTAGTTTCATAAAGAAAGCAATACCTCGCAAAGATTCTAACTAAAGCCTGGGCTTAAATACTATCTAAAACAGCTGCAAAGCATTAGTATTCAGGCGAACTTGAGCGATGATTGGAGGATGAGGATCTCTCCGGAGTCATGTGACTTTGCTGAGGAGTCTGGGAAATGGAGTTCGTGTCAGAATGTGCGAGCGAGGGAACTAGCTCCATCTGATGAGTGGCAGGAAGCGTGACAGGGACATTTTAGTAAATGGAAGAATGTGGGACTCTGGAGCAGCCGCCAATGAGCCTAAGGTCCCCAGGCCCAATGCCAGAAATCCAACCAGAAATACCCTTGATTGTAGAAGAAACCCTGGATGAGCAGGTGTCTGCAAACTTTTGTACACACATGTATTCACTACTCTGCAAAGGACAATGGTAAAATGGTATGTAGAGCTTTTTCTCTTCTTATTTGTTCAAAAACATAAGTGAAACAATATATTGTGATTTTACATGTCAGTGTGTTAGCTTAACCATAACTAGAGTGCACCAAGAAGTCAGGAACCAAACTGTATTCTTCTAACCAACATACTAAAAATGATCTGTTTTTAATCAGTTATTAATATGTTGTATTATATTTACTGTATGTTTATTTGCATTTATTCTAATGTAATGTAGTGTTTCTACTGGTAAATGCACACATACTGCCAAGATAAGTAGTTTAAAACAATTTTCTTGACTGAGTTTTGCACAGCAACACATTTTCTGTTTAATAATTTCAAAAGCATTTGAACAAAACAGATCTCTAAAAATTCTGGTAAATTGATGCAACCACAATTAATCCAGTACAGTTCTATGCTGTTTAATCGTTCTATGCTGTTTAATCTTTAAATATTTTCATGAAAATAAATAGTATTTGATGAAAAGAGGTTGTCAAACATAGCAGATTTATTTTGATCAAAAAGTAAAAGACCAAATATAAGTATAATAAAGCTGCAATCTGATTTATTTACATGACATATATAGTATGTTTTGATGAATCTGTGAATAAAGACATTAAATTTATATGGGAGGATCTGAACTCTTAATGTTTACTTTTACAGGCACTAAAAGGTAGATTAAAATAATATGAATTTTGTGGGGGTTCTGTGACTTAAACGCTCACCTCAGTAATCGAAAAATGTGTGTGCTGAAAATTGACTTTTATGGTATAAAAGAGTCTTCATATCCGCCCAATTACCATGAAAATGTGCAGATGACTTTGCAATGGGAATACGAGAACATGACTAAAAGCACTTTCAACTGGAACCTTTTTAACTACATTAAATATCCATGTTACATTTCATACTGTATTAGTTTGTGCCTGACTCTCCCTACAGTGTCTAACTCGTGTAACTACATATGTAATAACAATAATAATAATAATAGTAATAAAGTTACTAGAGCTGGCATGATACTAATTTTGCTTTTCCAATTCTGATAACCTCGAGACTTACCAAACTGATACTTGTTCTTTTTCAGCCTAGACATGCTTGGAGTTCAAATTTGATTCTTTAGTTTAGAACTGGAGCTACAAGGCTAACATTGCTAATAAACACCAGAACTTAATAGCCACCCAAACAGCCCAAAACATTTTGGTAAATCACATAAAAACTTCTCTCAAACAGCTCAAATCGCATTAATTAAAAGATGCACATTCTTGTCGATGTGGTTTAAGCCATAGTATGACGTTCTGTGAACTATAAAAATGAACAAAACTTCATCGCTACAAGCAGTCACTTCAGACAACACCAGGACTGGTATTCACTGGTGTATAAAGTGACCGCCTGCACTTCTTTTCATTTTTATAGTTTAAAGTCATCCTGTGTCCTAAACTACATCAAGGCTGCACGACGTTAATGAAGACCTGGAGATGGTTTGAGTGGACTGAGAGACATTGAGAGACAGAAACAGGTTGGGCTATTTGGGTGACTACTGAGTTCTAGTGTTTGTTAGCAATGTTAGCCTTGTAGCTGCAGTTCTAAAGTAAAGAAGCAAAATGTCTTGGCTGATCGACTACATCTGGTTTAAGAGGAAAATGTGTAAATTAGACTGTTTCCTTTAATTGAAGCTCTTCACTTAAGACGAGGATCTAAAAGTAGAAAACACTAAAACCAGAAGTAAAAAGTACTCTACTACCCCACAGGTAGAAATACACAAAATTCTGCTGGATCAGCCCGACACTGATACCCACCGATACTGATACACCTCTAAAAACTACCTATTCACAAAAATAATCATACATCCCATATAACCAAAAATAAATGATTTTACTCCTTCAGGTAAAGAAAATGAAACATGTACAGTGAAATCTGAGACCACATTGAAAATCTGATCACACTCAAACTTAGAAATAAACAACAAAGTTTTATAACCTTGAAAAATGTAAAAGTTATGACAATAAAAAGGAAGAGGGAACATTTCAAATTCTGCGAAATGTCTGTCACTATTCAGATTGAAACAACTTTGTGAAACTGCCAGTGTTTAGGCCTTTTTTTTAAAAAAAAGTCTTATTTCTTCCATTATACATGTTTAGATGACTCTCAGGTGGATCTGATCTACTGACCAGAGGCTTTTGCCCAAACCTATGGAGTCTGTGCCAGCTTGAGGCAACACCATCATTAATGTATCATCTGAAATTCACTCAGAGATTCTACCTTTCACCCAGATTGTTTTGCTAGTAAAATTATTTGTAATGGAAAACCGTGTATTAAATTAAAAAGCAATGCAAAACAGAAGCATTTCCACCACGCTTTCGGACCCCCACTTCACAAAGTCAGGACCACTGAGTTGGTCCTGGTGTATGCAACTTCTGCTTTTCTGTGTTTTTGTGGACATGTCTGTCCTAATAGTGCATGAAAACAAACATGCATACATACACACAAGCAAAATCCTTTCTCCTCCCCTTTCCCTCTGATTATATAAGCCCCCTCTCTGCAAGCTCAGATCAGATCAGTGCAGTGAGCGCGCGCCCACTAGTATGACGCTGGACTTCCCCAAAACGGCTTGTGTCCTCTCCTCTTTCTCATTCGCTCTTCTCCCCCCCCTTGAACACTCCTCCTCTCCCTCCTTCTCTTTCCCAACTCTACCTCTCCCGTCCACATCATCTCCCTCATTCCTGCCCTACCTCTCACGCACGTGCACGCGCTCACAAGCGCGCAGGGACTGCAGCAGCGGGAGATAAGCGATCCTTCTCACATCCGCGTGCGTGATGTGAGAGACCCTCCGTGTGAAGTGGACAGGGATACCCTTCTGGACCCTTCTGGAATTTGAGCGCTCCTCTAGAGCTCCTTTAAAGGGGAGGGAGGGGGGAAGGTTTCTTTTTCCTAACACTTCCAAACGCTGTGGATGTGCAACACCTTGACACACGCGCTCTCCCAGGGCTTGCGTGAGCGTGTGCGTCTGCGCGTGAGCCACTCCAGCCGAGCCAAGCCAAGGAGCACCTCCTTCATCATCTGCTGCAAAGCCGGTTGGAAAGCGCATGGCTGGGCTCGTCGCGCCTCCCCAGAGTGATCCGCTACAGCAAACGGCAATGTCCCAGCGCCACGCGAGGCTCACGCTGCTCCTCTCAGGGTGAGTCTGTCCTCTTTCGCCTTCTCTCTTTCGCTCCCACATCACGCGCTGGAGAGGGAAAAGCTGGGGAGAAAGCTGCTCTCCAGACAGCGCTTAACTGCTCGATTTGGGATCTTGTTGGCCAGCGGTTATTTACTGCGCCGAGGCTCAGCGAGTTGGTCTTTTGTTGAGAGAGAGAGAAAGAGAGAGAGAGAGAGAGAGAGAGAGAGAGAGAGGTGAATCATGCTTCAGTTGCTGCTCCACTGTAAGCCAATATTTCACGCCACTTCTTGACCTTTGGGTGATCAGAGAGGCTCGGCTATAGGCAAAGCAGAAGGTGTCCAGGCTTTCTGTTAGTTTGCAGTGTCTTTACTGCAGCTTTATAATGAAGAACATGATTCTTGCAGTGCAGACCCTGTCAGATTTGAGAATTGAGAACTGAAATCACACTGAAATTCCCTAACCAAGCATCTTTTTTTTCTCATCTGTGAGGGGTGGAAGGTACCACCAATCTCCAAGCGCATCTAATGAGAATTCACAGGTCATGTCATGCAAAATCATGCTTTGTCTCATTTTGGTCACGCATTGCCTTCGTCTTGTAGTCCAGCAGGCTGCGTTCTCGCACACACTGTGTGAGCAGCATCCTCAAAGACCTCAGGTATGGAAAACAAAAACAACCTCAAACATCTCTTTGGACCAACATTTAAGAAGAAACTGGAAAAAAGTTGCTGAATTTAGCAGCTTCTTGGAGTCAGTGGGGTCAGCTAAGGGGTCAGTGAGCGTCGGCAGCCATACTGGGGGATGTAGCGCTACAGATTTGTGAGTCTGAGAGAAATTTCCTCGTCAGTCTGCCTGTGTGACGATGCCCTCTCTGTATGAGAGAACGAGAGCGCCGTGCTATGAGACAGCCGACCACATTCTTTCCTCAGAAAATAACTCGCTCGCTCTCCCACTCGTCAGTGAGAGAAACACCATATTACTTTTCATCTCCCTCTCCACCTTGAGATTAAACTCACCTCTATTTCTCCTTCTCCATAAGCATTTCATCTCTCTCTCTCTCACTCTCTATGTGTCTCTTGTTCTCTGCATTCATACGTTGCCGGTTTCCTCTCTTTCTACTCCAGCCATCAAAGAGGCCACATCTAAACGTCGTTTTCTGTCTTTCCCCCCCTTGACACACCTTTGAGATGTCGGCCCCTGGCCTGATAACATGCAGAGTCAGGTTGCATTCTGTCTCTCCCTTTCTGTCTGTGTCGTATGCTCTCTGTCCGGCCTTTTTGCATCGTGATAGAAGACCGTTATATTTCTTCCTCCTATTTTTAATGGCTTTAAATGTAGTTTTGCATTACAGTGCATTACAGTAACTATGTATATATCTGCCATATGAATATAAGCCATATCCTGCATTTTCGTTCCATCTGAAATTTGCTTATGACACATGCATGGTACCTAAAATAGTCATAATTCCTTTGTGCATGACAATTAGAATTAACCAGACTGATTTTGTTACTTTTGCCTTTAAGACTGATGTATGTAAATAAGACATGCCCGGACTGGCCACCCTGTTTTGCGCGTCAGTTAAATAGCAGTGCAGGATGAAACCCTCCTTATAACTTCAGAATGAATGGGTGAGGCTAAGCTGTAAATGTGTTGGGTTTTATGACATCAGAAAAACAATGAATTCACAATGGGCAGCTTAGTTTCCACATATTGGCCCTTTAAAGAGGGAGCTAGGCAGACACAGCAGAGAATGCAAAACACTCTCATGCATTCTCTTCTCATTCTCTCGGTCTTGCAAGGAATTAACCACTGGTCTCTGTACATCCCACATCCAAAGCAGGATCCCACACCTCTCGTCTGATTCCGTACTTCAGCTTGTTAGCGGGATTAGCCCTGCCTTTTTCATTCCCATCCATCCGTGCAGGGCAGTTTTAATAGCAGCCATTTGATCCCACTGTGTTCCTCCTCACTTTGAAACTGTGCTTTTGCCAATAAGGCAGCTAATCCAATGTCACGAAGAGCACCTTCATGAGAAGCTAGCAGCTGGAGGCAGAAAACAAGGTCAGCTGATCTCTATACAGCAGGGGAGAACGTGAGTGGTGGGTGAAACCTCATTCATCCAGCTCTAAGTGCCTGCACAAGAACAACTGCCACACTAGGCAGTGAAGATATGAACCCGCTAGAGGAGGCTCCAGCAGGCAAGCCTCATCTGTACATGTCATATGATCCAAACACAATATTACAGGCTGGCCTAACTCTAACAACAAAGGCTTCTGAATGGGTCTTGGCTTGGACTTAGTTATATATATATAGCTTTACCAGTTTACCTTTACATTATGTGGAGGTTCTTTCAGCTATAAAAGGCTATTCATGTACACTCTTAGCAAAAATGGGTCTATGTAGTACCAAAAAAAGGTTCTATGACGTGTAACAATAGTGGAAGCTTTCTTGGGGGCTAGACTCTTAAAGGTGGCAGGAAGGGTTCCTTGTGCAGTGCCACAGAAGGACAACTTCCTGGCCCTTAAATAACCTTCTGTACATTCTTTAGAGAACCATTTTTATAATTGAGATGTGAGTGTGAAGAACCTTTTCCAGGTTTAAAGACCCTCCACATAATGTAAAGGTTCTGGCAAGAACCCTTAAATTGGTATAGAATCTGTACATTATGTGAAAGTTCTATAAATCTTCAAAAGGTTTTCACAGTCACAAATCTTTTTCAAATATGGTTCTTTACATAAACAAAAGTGGCTCTCCCTAGGTGGCACTTTTTTTGCAAAAAAAAAAACAAGCTTGCGATGCCACATAAGAACTATTTTGGTTTCAAAAGAATCTTTCAAGAGATGGTTCTTTGGAGAACCATTTTTGTAAATGAGGTGTGTGATGTATAGAATCTTTTTTTAAAGTTTAAGGAACCTTCACATAATGTAATGGTTCTAGAAAGAACCCTTAAATTGGCATAGAACCTTTATATTATGTGCGGCTTCTGTAAACCCAAGAAACCCACATAGCCCACAGCCCATAAATCTCTTTCAAATAGTGGCACCTTTTTTTGCAACCATTTTTAGTTCTTTTGAGAACCTTTCAAAAGACAGTCTTTAGGAAAAACATTTTTCTAGATAAGATGTGTGACTGTATAGAACCTTTTTTTCCAACCTTCACATAACGTAAAGGTTCTAGGAAGAACCCTTAAATTGGTATAGAACTGGAACCAAATGTGAGGCTTCTTTAAACCCAGGAAACCCACATAACCCATAACCCCCAAAATCTCTTTCAAACATGAATCTTTAGGGAACCAAAGATAGTTCTTCTATGGCATTGCTCAAAAAAATCCACCACCCTTTTTTAGAACCTTTTTAAAAGGTTCTATAAAGAGCCTCATACAATGGATTTTCCATCACTGAGTAGAACCATTTTAGACATACACAGAATTTAAGCATTCACAGGGTTCATGTTTCATATTTCTATACAGAGCCATTGCTTTATTAAAGAATCTTTGAAGAACCCTCTTTTTCAAGCTTGTTCAAACACAGCTCTCTAAAGAAACATCAATTAAAAAGTTCTTTAAGGAACCAATACTGGTTCTTCTGTGACAGTGCTTGAATAAGCCCTTTTGGCACCTTTATTTTTAGTGAAATCAACAAACATGAGGTACCACAGCAATTCTGTAAATGACTAGTGCATTAGTGGAGGATTGTGGCTGATATCTGCTGTTTTAAAACTTACTTTCTGTGCCAGAAAATCCACTTGTCCAAAACATTTACAACATCTTGATTAGGACATGTTTTTAAATCTTCAAAATTGACATATTCATATGAAATATTCAACATTTTTTTCTCAATTCTTGAACAAATCCATGTAGACGTAGGGTAAACAGCGAAGGTTATAGAGTTCGCACTGAGCCAACTTTTCAGCAACTTCACTTTGCACTTAACTGCAGTGTCCTTGCGTGGGATTTTTAGTCTGGGCAACCATGTGGAAGAAACCCAATGCTGCGCTAGCTTGAAAAATCATTACACTTTGGCTAGTGGAAGGTTTAGGGCTGTAGCACTGTCAACACTGAGTCCAGCTCAGAGGAGAAGAGGGAGAGATCAGCTATCACTGGCCACCTGCAGCCTGGGATTATTCAGAGAAAGATAAATCAGAGAGAGAGGATTAGATACATTATGACTAATGGAGTGAGACGGGACTGTGGAACTGAATCTGTCAGCACTGTCCTTGAAGCTTAGTCTTTACAAACAGGTATGCTGCGCTTTCTCCTCTTAAGATTTTGTAAGGAAAATTGGAAAATGCTTTTGATGATAGTAAGTAAAGCCTTAAAAGCGTGTTTCAGTATTCTGGATTTTAATAGGGTCATTTAGAACATGCTTTTGATGATATTGATCAGTAATACTGCAAAAGTATTCCTTTTTTAAGAGACCACACTGGCAACTCAAATATACTGACAGTATCTATTAGTAAACAGAGCTCTGCTACAGTTGCATGGATGTATATGGATCATTCCACCAATTTGGCTTAAAATCAGAGTTAAAACATTTTCGGACTGACTGGAGAGTGAAATCCTTTTGCTTTGACTGATCCTAGATCTTAATTACGTTCATTTTATTAAAACAAATGACTGAATGTTCAATTTTGTCACCACCAAAACAATCATGACACTACTGAAGCTTTACCTAATGTTTCAGTAGTGACAATTTTGTTTATTTTGAGCATAACTCAAGAACTCTAGCCAGCTCATGACGATCACTGCTTTGAACAGTTGTTCACACACAAAATCATAACATTTTTCACTCAACACAAAAAAATAGAAACACAAGAAAATGTGTGATTCAGTAGTGACAATTTTTAATGTAACACTTGATTTTCAGATTTTGGAGCACATTTAATCAACACAATGGGATATAAATGCTCATGTGGCCATGAGGGGCAGGAATACAGCCTCACTTTCTGCTCTAAAATGAAGGGGTGTGGCTAAAGTAAGACTCTGCCTACAGACTAAAATTCTTTGGGGCCAATGATAAAAC